AGGCTAGGGACCAAGATAACTCCTATCAACCGTCTTTCACCTCTCATCAAGGATCAAGAGAGGTCGTTAAATAACTCATTTAAACCACCTTAAATTACATAATTGTGGCATGTGGCCACATCAAGTCTTACATGTGCCGGTAGCCTATAGTTAGTTAGAGCCTCTAGAGGATTTGGTAGAGGGATTGTATTGTCCTTGGAGAAAGCAGGTTGTGAGGTTAGTGAATGATCAGGTGAAGCAGGCCTATTTCATGCCTCATGCTCAGGCATTAGCAGATATGCCTTGTTTTGTTCCGTCAATAATAAACAAGAAGTAGGATGCTTTATGATAAATCAACCACCAATTAAATTTTTTTAATCTTTGAGTAGTAATTATAAATTTTCCAGTTTCAGAATACAACTCCGGGTCAAAGAAGGATTAAAGAGCTGCTGTTCAAAGTTTGAACCGTATTCCCACAATCCAAGTTTTTCCCAATTTCGCTTCCTTTAAATATATCCTGCTGCAATCAGAAAAATATATTAGAAAGAGGTGTGGCGCAATCAGTTAAGCGATATCTGTCTTAAACTTAAATAGGTATCTTCCCATCTAGTACTTCTTTTCTAGGAACTGTTTGAAAGTGGAAGCATAGGAGCTAGCAGAGTGCAGAGCAGGGAACTGTCTGTTGCGGGCTATCATTCGTATCTTAATTGGCAGTTCGCCAAAACCTACTCCTAACAAGTTGTTGGCTCGTGAAATCTCTCCCAGACGCAATTCAAGGTGTTATATATATTAATACAGACTTCAGTTTGGTTCCATGCCCAATGGCTCTTGAAAGAAGAAGTAAATCATTGAAGCAAAGGGCAAAAAGTAAAAGCAAAGTTCATACGTCTATAGAATCTCTTCCGAAAGAGGTGATGTCTGCGGTTCTTGCTCTTGTTGCCTCAAAGTCCATAACCGATCTTATTAATGCCAAGTTGAGTTGTAAATATCTTCTTCAAATATCAGAAGATGATTTCATCTTTGAGAAGGCATCCGTAGACAAGTTTAGCATATTTCCATGGCGGAATATGAGAAACAAGTCTCCAAGTTCTTAAAACGTTGCGAAGAGAGTGGAAACCCAGAATGGTTATACATATTAGGTTTGTATGAATATTTCAGTATGTCCAAAACTAGTCAGGGATTGAATTATTTGAAGAGAGCTGCTGATAAAGGACACGTTGAGTCCAGTTATGTATATAGTATCATCCTCATATGTTTTCGAGGTGAGCTAAAGCAACTTGGCTTAAAGCTTTTAGCTTCTTTGAAGTGGTTCAGAACAAGAGAGTCAAGGATGAAAATAAGAGAGAATTTTCGGTGGATGTGGACTCGTAATATGATAACAATCAATACTGAACCAGAAGATTTCAATTCCAGGAGCTGCGACTATTTAAAAAATTGGAGCGGAGGAAGATGGGAAGGAGAGGACGCTGCTGCTCCTTGTTGCCACTCATGTTTTTGTCATCGCGAAGTTAAGTTCTTTTCAGAATTGATTTGGAGTCATTATTTGTTCAAACAGTAGTAGATTATTAGTTTTTATTGTTATTATTATTAGGCTAATCAAATTGATTTTTTTTAGTTACTGATTTTCATATTTTTAATTGACGAGTAATAAATTCCAATTTTTATTTTCGCATATGGATCATATAAATTTTATACTACAACAACAAAAATAAAATAAAATAAAATGTTGTCACAGATGCCCATTTAACAAAATCATGGTAATTATATATTTATTGTTTGTTTTATCTTTCGTAATTTAGAGTTTGATGTTAATGAGATTTTTTTGGGAATAAAAATTAAGATTTTACATAAAAATGTTATTCAAGATTTATATACAAGAATTTATAAGTCCAGTACAATATCATTTCTCTTTAATACTAATTAATCAATTATTTATTAATTAATTAAACAAACAAACCCAATTCCCAAATTATTTGAAAAAGAGAGAGAGAGAGGGAGAGGGAGCCAGGGTGTTAACTTGATTCACTTGAGCAGATCAACTAATTCAGTTTCCAATTAATTACTGAAATCCCATAAAACTCCTTAATTATTCTTAAAACTACAATAATGCCACTTAACAAGCCAGTGCTCTATAAAACTTAATTGCTGCATGGTAATTATTTAAAAAACCAGTCCCAAATTCAATCACTTTCCACCAAATAGCTCTTTAAGTTCAATAATTTCAAATTTTTATGCCAATTATTTAATTCTATAGCTCTTAAATGTGTTGATTTATAGTCATGGTTTTTTCTTTCAATCTTTTTTTAATCAAATTAAGAAATTTTAATACATACAAAATTGCTTTGGTAATTTAGTCCTCAATGAATTATGTTAAATGCAGACGAAGTGAAATACCCACCAAGGTTTTAAAACCCGACCGGGGGGGTGACCCGTTCAGGCGACCGAGTCACGGGTTAAGCGGCAGTTTACCAATGATTTAACACATTTAAAATCTAGCAAACACAGCCTTAATAAATACCATCAAACCCTATAAGTTTGAAATCTAGCAAACACAACCCTGGCCAAATGCAAATCGGCAATCGATTAGGAGAGCGACGACGACACACCAGGGAAGGTAGGTCAGGTGATGGGGAGGACGAATTGGTAGTTGGCAAGTTGAGGCATCGTCAAAAAATGGCAGATCGGTGGTGGAAGTCAAAGGTTGTAGTGGCTTTTTTTGGCGAGATGACTGTGGTTCTTCGTGAACGACGGCAAGGGAGCTTGGGAGAAGGTGGATCGGTGGCTAAGGAGGCCTCTCGATGCCGGAGAAGGCCGATCGACGTCGGGAAATGGAAGAAAAATTGTTGGACGACGAACGCGGGAGATGAAGTGTCACGGCCTCGGAGAAAGTTAAAAGGTGGTTTTTGATAGCAAGGGAAGGTGTCACCGAAAAAGGGAGGTCATCGTCAATTTGCATTTGGCCAGAGGGTGTGTTTGTTGGATTTCAAACCTTTAGGGACTGATTTGTACTAATCAGGGGTGTGTTTGCAAGATTTCAAACTTGAAACAGTTAAAAGTGTAACCCAACCGGAAGGAGGCCCTGGGTCCTAGTTCAATCGGTTAAATGCGCCGAGCCGATCCGGGTTTTCAAACCATGATATACATACTTTCTTTAGTTCATATTTCAGTAAAGGACAATTTTTTTTGCTAAACTCTATGCATTAGAAGTTCGCAAAAAGTTATCTTTTAACAAACTGTTTCTTCCAGGAATTTTAAATTCGGATTTTAAGAAAATCATAAACGTCCGAAATAGAGAAACACTATTACCATCAGTTTGATTGTTTGATGATCCAATAATTGTGATTGTTTCCATGACATGATCCCATTTAGGTACTGAATTTCCTGATTCAGAAGCCAGAGTAATCCAATTTACAAGCAACAAAAATATGCCAGAGGAAAAGCTTCTTGGTGGACTTCTGAGTTCAGGATTCAATTAAACTTCTTGCTGAAGCAGATACAAATCCTTCTTATTCCGCAAATTTTCAACCCACAACCCTTCCAGCTTCCTCCTCTCCAAGCTAAGAGCTTACGAACATCTCCACCGACGCTGCGGACCACGTACGGAATCCTAAAAAAAACCCTGGAGCACCTTGTTTCGGGAAATTTTTCAAGCCCCTCAGGCTGTAACTATGTCGTTTGGATTTCTTACAGTGGCTTGGGAAACAGAATAATGACCATAACTCCAGCTTTTCTTTGTGCTTTTGTTACAGACACGGTTTTACTAATCGACCAACAGCCCGAAATGGCTCATCTCTTCTGTGAGTCTTTTCCAGATACATCCTGGTTACTGCCTGCCGATTTTCCCTTCAAGAATGAATTCGAAACAGTTTTTCACCACCTGGGGAGGTATCTTTTCCACCCTTCAAATCAAGTTTGGGGACTAATTAGAAGGATTGCAAAGGCTGAAGAAGCATTCAAATAAGAGTATTTAGAACTCTAACAACTCCACATCAAGCTGTTATAGATCAAGTTTTGGCCTGCACTTTGAAGGAGAACCTGCTGCCGGAAGTAGACTTCGCAAAATCTATATCTCCATCTCCAGCTAAAGACCTGAAGAAATCAAAAGCTGTAGTTATAACATCCTTATATCCGGAGTACTTTGAGAATATAAGCAACATGTATTCGATTCACCCAACTGTGAGTGGTGAAGTGATTGAGGTTTATCAGCCAAGCCATGAAGAGCATCAAAACATTGAGAATAATTTTCACAACATGAAGGCATGGGCTGAGATGAATCTGCTGAGTATGTGTGATGTTATGGTGACTAGTGCTTGGTCGACTTTTGGATATGTGGCTCAAGGTCTTGCAGGTTTAAAGCCATGGATTTTGCACAATATTGAGAACAGAAAAGCCCCAGATCCTTTTTGTTCTCGAGTCGTGTCGATGGAGCCTTGTTTACATTCTCCTCCGGTTTATGATTGCAAGGTGAAGACCAGGGTGAATTATGGATCTCTTCTTCCTCATGTGAGGCACTGCAAGGATATGCACCAGGGGATTTAAGTTGTATAATCATCGTGAATGACAAAATAGTTTACGATACAGTGAAGTATCACGTCACTCGTACAACAAACCAATGGATTCATGTCTTAGGGATGTTCAGTTGATTTAGTGTATGAAGCAACTTGATAACCTCATTTAATTGTAGACTTTTCCCATACATAGATACGATTTTATGTCTCCATTGTTGTAACTTGAGCAGTTCCTCAAACACATTTGTATATTCTGCTCAGCACATGCTGGGGAATAGTTTAATACAAGATTCAAAATCCCTTTTCAAGAAATTAAAAATAATTTGATGTTTTTAAAAATAATTGAGATTATAAGAAATTCTTAAACAAGCAGTAATAAGTTCATTTTCATTGTTTTTAATTTTTAGGCTTAGATCAGGATCATATTATTGATGAAAAACTCCCATTTAAATGCATTTTTCAGAATTCCCCTCCAGGCAGTAACGAAATACAGAAGTCTAAAATGGAGTTTAGTTAAAACAATAACAATAGACACTAAAAACTTGAATTATCACTGCCTGCAAGAAATTGCTGTAAACAGTTCATACATTGGTTAGCTTCCAGGAATCCAGAGAAATTACAGAATTTAGATGGGAATACAGCCTGAACAGGACCGCCTCCCCAAGGGTGAGGAAGAATCAAAGCACTGCTATTAGAGCAAAAATGCTCTAGTGGCAAAGGTACCGGCAGGTTTGACATAGAAGCCGTAAGCCAAGTAAAATCAAGAAGCATTCAGTTGATCTAGCTTACGTTTCGCCACTTCAAGATGTTCTGCACAACATTCAAGAGTTAAAAGGAAAATAATACTGTATTAGAGTTGTTTAGCGAGGTGGGTAGGCAAGAGTGCTTACTCTGCTCAGATGCTGTTGCTTTCTCAATAGTTGTACGAAAATATATGTTTGCATTTTTCTGATAGACAGTCTGTAGTCAAGAAGAAAAATGTTTATGCTTTTGTTTTAAGAACTATTAAACTTCTTGTACTCAAACAGCAGGGGCTGTTCAATAAACAACCAATTAAAAAATAAGAAAATGCAAACTTCAGTCTGACATAAGCTCATCAATGTTGGTTAACTAAGTTCACATAAGCCTATGCTAGCTAGTTATCAAGGACACCACATTGTTAACACAAATTCTAACGCAATTGTTAAAACCAATGGATTGAAGCACTTTCGAGTGATTGTTAATACATCTAACATATATCATTTTCGATAAGAATAACTAAAATAGTTCACTTTTTGCTTATATATTGTAAGAAACTGAAACAAAGCACATCTACCCCAGTAAAGCTACGAAGTACAAAGGGACTCTGCTCCACTTCTTTGAAAGCTATGTTAACAATTTCATATCATGCACATTATGGAACAACTACAAACAAGAAAGTGACTTAGATCCCAGTAACTGAAAAGCTGCAACTCGCCAACATTACTACCATCCAGAGCATAAGCCATTAAATAGCTTAAAGAGAATAGAACATAGACTCGCTTTCTTTTGCAACTAAACAGTAGCAAATCAAAAGACATTTTCCAATCTCCTTAAATATAAAACAGCTACTAAGTAGAAATTTCTTCCATATCACCAAGTTCTCATAATCGATCAATTTTTTTTTTTTTTTTGAAAAATAAAGCCATCTTTTCTCCTACACAACTCTTGCCCAAGGAAAACCCACCTGAAAGAAGGCTGGGAGTTGAACAAAACAGAATAATGTAATTCATTGCAGTACACTAAACGATTAATTATCACTGAAGTTATAGTTGAGAAGGGAAGATGTAGTGATTTCTTAGAAAACGTTCTATATTTCATATAACTTCATAGTTCATACCCCTTATTACATATTTAAGACTTGGTTCAAATTAGAGACGCCAGTGGCAACACTTGATTCATCAACTATCAGATTCATCAACACTTGAAGATAAAAAATTTGAATATAGTTTTTCAGCTGTTATACTCATAAATACAGGGCATTAGCTCAATTTAAGTGTAATTTGGAATCCTTGAAGATTTAATTAAGCCCCTGCTTAAACAATAGTTTCAGGAAACTGATTAACAAAAAAAAACCCAAAATATTAATCACAAGTATGAACTAAGATTCTGCGTACCCGAGATGATGGAAGACTATTAAGCTCTGCAATGGAAACCTCGTGGCTTTTTACCTGAAACGTTTGCAAAAGAAAATAAACCTTACATATAATTTGTACAAGCAAATAGAAAGTATAGAAGGAGAGAAAGAGATATACTTCTTTGAGTAGATGGAAGGAATTGGAGGTGGAGCAGAATGACCCATCTGCCATGTCTTCTTTTTCGCCTCAATTAAGACTTTACTAGTTAAACTCTGCCCTTAATATAACACTAATAAAAAAGAGAATTAAAAAAAAAAAAAAAAATTAAAAATGAATACCTACACGCTAAATTTCGGCGAGTTCCTCCCTCAAACAGCAACTCCTCTCTTCCTCGCTTTAGCCAATTGTCCGGCGGTCTGCACTTAATTGGTGCCTGTTGCCTTGTGGGCTTTTAAGCCCACAAAAAATCATGTTAGCCTTTGTTTAAGTGATCTCGAATTCTCGATACATCGAACGGTCGGCTAATTCGATAAATATTTATTAATTAATGGAATAATACAACTCACCCAAACGCTTATACTAAATGTCACCTTTCAAATGATATATTCACATATCATTTAATATGTCGTCATTTTATTTATGTGTCCATACCGCTTATGGTGAGATATTATTTGGATGTGAAATTTGGGATGATTAATATTATAAATTTTAACAGTTTGTTAACGGCATTATTTTTTTTTTTTAATTTCAAAATCCTCAAGAAATATTTGTTATTATGTCAAATATCTAGAGTGTGTTTGGTACAGGGAATGTTATATTAATAGGGAGATGGATTACTGAAAATGTTTAGAGAATTGTGTTTGGTTGGTTGGAATAGATTAGTGGATATATTATATAAATTATTAAATTTCTCTCCTTTTTAAATATTAATATATTATTATTTTTTTATCCCCCTCCATTTCAAATTTAGCTAAAACATCCTAATAACAAAAAAAGTTTAAAACTTAAGAAAATCACCCTCACCCACCCCAAGCCACTGTCGTCTGTCGACCACCACTGTTAATAGTGGTGACAGTAGAGATCTGGCCTTGAGAGGCTAGATCATGGGCCATGAAAGGCCAGATCTAGCTGTTTTCGGCCATAAATCACAGATCCATGATCGAAAACGACCTTAATGACGCATAGCCGATTAGATCCAACTAAGTCATGCGCCATTCTGTCGCCACTAGTAGTGGTGGCCAGATCCGACCACCACCCTTGGGTACTTTTTTAAATTCCAAGGTTATTTATGTCTTAAAAACTTTGTATATAAGGATAAAATAGTCAATAGTGTTTTGTAATTGTTTTTAAAATAAGGGCATTATTGTCCTAAATTTTATTAATAAATGGGTAAAATTGTAACAAAAATAAGATTATCAAGTAATCTTAAAATACCCAAGAAAACAGAGGTAATCAGATTACCTCCTATATTGTCAATAGTAATTACTATTAGTTTTGAAAGATTATCGAAATCTTATATTACAGCTGTGAAATGCCAGATATTTGGTCATGAAACGACGGCCACATCATGGGCCATGAAAGGCCAGATCTAGTTGTTTTTTTACCATAAATCACAGATCCATGGCCAGAAACGGTCTTAGCGGCGCACATCCAACTATATCCGACCGATCGTGCTCCATTCCGTCGTCGCCGACAATGGTGGCCAGATTTAGCAACCACCCGTGGGTAATTTTTTTTTAAATTCCAGGGGTATTTATGTCTTAAAAATTTTGTATATGAGGATAAAATAGTCAATTAGTATTTTTGTAAATTGTTTTTAAAACAAGGGCATTATTGTCCTAAACTTTATTAATAAATGGATAAAATTGTAACAAAAATAAGATTACCAAATAATTTTAAAATACCCAAGAAAACGAAGGTAATCAGATTACCTCTTATATTGTCAATAGTAACTATTATTGGTTTTGAAATATTATCAAAATTTTATATTACTCGACAATCAAACGTGATAATCAAAAAATATAAGATGACATTACCTTAGTAATCTCATATTACTCCCAACCAAACACACCCTTAAATTAATGATAAAACACTGTAATTAAAAAATAAATAATTATGATATTTAAGACATGAGATAGTTATTTATTTATTTTTTTAACAACTTATTCACAAATATATTTGAATAAAGAGAAATTGAATTTTATCGAATTTGACTTTTTGTAACAAACATAAAAATTAAATTACTCAAAGTAGGATTATTTCAGATACAAAAATACGCATATATTCTTATGAGAATGTTAAATCAAATCAAAGTAATAGTGCACGGAATTAGTGTATTGAAAGAGCCAATAAATAGTCGAAATCTAGCGATTAGAAACATCTTTAAAGCGAGTAAGACAACATTGGTTTCAACCACCAAATCATTTAAAGATCATTATTTCGATATTTGAGAATAAAATTATGTACAGATAATAATTTTAAGTAGAATTTTTAAGGGACAACAATATCCCATAGAATCAAGAAAAAAAAAGGGATTCACATGCTCGTCTGAAAAAACTTTATAAAGTCGCAAATATTTGATTTTAAAATCACTTCTTACATGGGAAATTAAAATCCAATTTCAAAACAAGAACACTTATCTCATGATTATAATTATCATGATAGGCGTTTTTTTTTTTCCTTCTCGGAAAAATTCCCTCGTTGATAATGAAATCGAATTTCTACTTCATTCCATCGCTATTCATGAGTCAAGCTAATTGTTGAAGGTGAAGTCAGAAACGGCGTCGCACAACTAATCTGTATGCGCCGTATTTGCCTTGCTCCTTCCAACCATGGATTTTTTGAATTGATCTGAAGGCTGTCTTGAAGCCACCTGGATTATAGCAGTATAAAACATCCTCTACATTTGAAGTCAATAAAAAAAAAAAAAAACTACAATTGAATATTCTCTTCAATATTTTTCAGATTTGTATCGATAGAGCATTTTTTTCTTGTTTTCTTCTGTGTAATTTGTCCTTACAGCAGTAAGATTTAGTCTTTTGTGAGGGTTGGGTTTACTCTCGGTGCAAGGGTTTAAGTAGAGTTCCTTAGGGCAGATTTTGCAGGTGTAAAGAAGAAAGTGTTTTAGTGGGAAAAGAGTGAGGATATTAGAGTGTGTGTGTGTGTGTGTGTAATCTGTAAAAGGTTCTGATTAGTGCAGAAAGCTCCTCAATTGTGGAGTTCAACGTGGATGTAGCTTATCCAAATCTGGATAAGTGAACCACGATAAATCGTGTTCTTCTTGGTTGATTGTTCTTGGGTGTGTTGTCATTGTTCTTGATTTTGTGTTGAGTTGAAATGGTAATGGTTTGAATCTTATCAATGGTATCAGAGCCAACAATCTAGGGTGTGGTGATCTCAGGTCTGTTCTGAATTAAGAACTCGTCGAATTTTTGGGGCTTTCACGATCCGTAAGGTCTTTAGAGTTCTAGAGTTCTAAATCTAAGTTGAGTTATCAATTTTGCGATTTTGGTAATTTTTCTTGAAATCTAGGGTTTATCGAATTTGGGGGTTTTCTTGACGTTAGTTCTTGAGGTCCTAGATAGATTAGAGTCCATATCAGGGTTCAATTATGACAAATTAAATTAGCTTCGAGTTCTAGGGTTTCTTCGATTGGGATTCTTTTTTATATCAATATCAAGAAACTGGTATGACTACAACACGCATGGAGATCACCCAGTATGATGGGAAGAATCGATTTCAACAGTTGGAAGAAGAAGATGAAGGCGTTACTATCACACAACAAGTTGCCATTGCACTAGAAAGGATGCAACGAAGTGGCCAGAAGAAAAATTAAAGAAAAAACAAAGGCGAGTTTGATGAGGCGTACACTCATCATCATGAATCTCCAGACAAAGTCTTGAAGAACGTAGATGGCATGGAGACTCCACTAACTTTATGGGTAAACTCAATTCATTAACTCTTTACAATCTGCTCCAAATTAGCTTTCTTAAGGGTGCTTTATTGCTTATAAAATGGATAGCTCTAACTCTATAGAAGATAATTTGGGAATTCTTGAAAATGACTTAATTTTAAAGGGATAGATCAAGAGTAGGAGATACAAGTTTAGCCATGATACTTCTTAATTCCTCAACAGAAGAGTACCAGGTTGTTTAAAAATGCTTTACAAATACAGGCACTGTACCAGTCTGATTTAATCATTGCGGATGTTAAGGCTAGGGAGTAGAATTAAAGTTCAGAAAATGAGTGGGAAATAACTTGTTGTAAGGGTAGAGTAGAATTGGCCAATCAGGAAACTAACACACGTGTCACAAGTTTAAAGAATAAGAAGAAAGGAAAAGGATTGTCAAGAATAAAGGGGAAACTAGGAAGTGTTTTTATTGCAATAAAACTGGACATTTAAAAAGAATTGCTTTGAGTGGATTAAAAACAGAAAACAATCAAACACTGAAAGTAATGTAGCTTCCATAGTGACAGTATCAATGAATCTAAGTGCTCACAGTGTCTAGGTCAGACCAGGTTCAGGAGTGGGTTCTAGACTTAGGGTGCTCTTTTCCATGAGTTGAAAGAAAGTGGTTTCAAGACTTGAAAAGGATGAACATGAAACAGTGTTATGGGCAATAACAATGCATGCAAAGTTCGAGGAATAGGGAGTGTAACCTAAGATTGAATAATGGGAAATGATAATGTTGACTAGGTTAGATACATCCCTGAGCTAAAAAGAACTTAATCTATCTAGGAACACTAGATGAATCAGGATGATGTTATAAAGCAGAAAATGAATGGATAATGTGTATAGAGATAACAGCATAGTGCTAAAGGGTTTGAAAAAGAATGGGTTGTATATACTGGTGGGAACACTATTCTGATAAATCCAATACTGCTCTGTTTCTTCTAACTCTAATGTGACAGAAAAATGACATTTAAGAATGGGGCATATGAGCCAAAAGGGGATGACCATTCTCTCACAATAGGGATTGTTTGGTAAGGACATTATCTCTAACTTGATTTCTGTGAAACCTGTGTGTTGGGTAAGCAACAAGTTGAGTTTCTCAAAGGTATAATTTGCCACTCATTCTTTAGATTATTTGCATGCTGATTTGTGGGGGCCATAACAGTTTAGTCTCATGGGGGAATAGTCATTTTCTCAATTGTGTGATGATTAGTAGGAAGGTTTGGGTTTACCTACTTAGGTCCAAAGATGAGGCTTCTTAGGTTCAAAAACTGGAAAAACTTTAGTGGAAATCAAGCTGATAGGAAGTTAAAGCCCTTAGGACTGATAATGGTTTGGAATTCGTAACGCAGAATTCGACAAAATATGTAGTGAACAGGGAATCCTTAGACATAAGACAGTAGAAAAACTCTCAGCAAAATGTTGTTGCTGAGAGGATGAATAGAACCTTGCTTGAAAAAGTTAGATGCCTTGTTACTTCAGGTTACCAAAATCATTTTGGGAGCAGCTTTAAC